TTAATTCTTCTTACCAACAGAGCAGTTGGTAAGAAGAACAGTATAAAAAGAAGAACAAAAATAAACACTAAAAACAGTTTACAAAAAGGATCTAAAGCGGTCCACAACAACAAATATGAAGATTCATAAGAAACCAACAGACAAAAATTGCAGATTTGAAGGAAAACAAAAACATACCAGCAAACGAATGGGAAAGATACCTGACGGAACTGTTTAAAGAAAACAAAATAATAATCAACACAATAACGTACCTGAATTAAGAAACGAAATAGAAATCAGTTTTCAGGAAGAAAAGATAACCATAAATTCACTAAAAAATAAAAAGTCGCCAGCACCAGACGGAATAACCCACGAGCTTCTAAAACATGGAGGAGAAAATATAACTCTAGAGATGACAAAACTTATACAAAAACTAATATTGCACTGCAAGATAGCAGGCGCATGGAGAAAGAGCATGATGATACCAATATTATTAAAAGAAGATAAAGAAGACCTTAACAATTATAGAGGTATAAATCTACTACTAAACACCTCACTTATCAATAAAGTCCTAACCAATTAAATTAATAAACCAACAACTTTATCAGATAAACTACAAGGATTCAGATCTGGAAGATCCTGTGTAGACGTATTTCTACTATGACCACTCCCAGAAAAAGCCATCGACTACAATAAACCAGCATATCTATGTTTTATAGACTTGACAAAGGCGTTCGTTCGCATCCAATTCAAAGACGTCTTACACGTACTATATAAAAGAAATATACTAATCAATATTATACAAGTCATCGAAAACATCTACTTACATAATTGAATTCAGGCAAAGATAAAGACAAAAATGGAAGAATTACAGGAAAACAATAACATACCAGCAAACGAATTTGAAAGATATCTAACAGAACTGTTTAAAGAAAAAAAAATAATAATCAACAAAATAACGTACCTGAATGACACCAAATTAAAATCAGTTTTCAGAAAGTAGAGATATCCATAAATTCACTCCAAAATAGAAAGTCGGTAAAACCAGACGGAATAACCAACGAGCTTTTAAAACAGGGAGGAGAAAGTATAACCCTAGAAATGACAAAACTTATACAAAAACTTAAATTGAACTGCAAGATACCAGACGCATGGAGAAACAGCATAATGATACTAATGTTATTGAAAAAAGATTAGGAAGACCCCAACAATTATAGAGGGATAAATAGGGATAAATCTACTAAACACCGTACTTTCCACAAAAGTCTTAACCCATAAAATTAATAAACCAACAACTTTATCAGATGAACAACAAGGATTCAGATCCGGAAGATTCTGCGTAGACGCCGTATTTGTACTAAGACATATCACAGAAAAGGTCATCCAGCACAGTAAAGCAGCAAATTCTATGTTTTATCTACCTGACAAAGGCTTTCTATCGCATCCAAGTCACAGACGTCTTACACCTACTATATAAAGGAAAGATACTAATCAATATTGTACAAACCATCGAAAACATCTACTTACATAATTAATTACAGTCAAAGATAAATGGAAACTAATTCAGTGTATACCGGTACAAAGCGAAGACTCGTTAAGCCCACTTCTCTTTACTATAATAATAGACGAAATAATACAAGCAGTACGTAAAGGTCATGGTTATAAAATAGGGAACAAATAAATCCAAATATTATGTTATGCAAACTACTCCGCATTAATTGCCGAGACAGAAGATGAGATCCAAAGATTAACACATACCTTCAATAGATATAGCCAAGAAATAAAATATCAGCAGAAAAAATCAAATGTATGAAAACATCTAATTACCCACTTCGATGTAAAATCGAAATTTATGGGAAAATTATAAAGCAGGAAGTACGGTTTAGATATATATATATATATATATATATATATATATAATATATATATATATATATATATATATATATATATAACCCATATGTAGTAATAGATTTATAATCTATTACTCTAATCATCCAAATAAGTTGAAAATGAACCTTATAACAGGATTAAAGGAACGTGTTTTAAAACTTTCTCATCCAGACTATCTACAAGAAGATCTTTATTTGTTAAAAAATATTTTAATCGAAAACTCTTATTATCCAGATATGCTACATAGGATGCTTTTTTCTAATTTATTAAATATAAATAACTTAACACCATTTTTTGCTAAATCTCAAAACACCGTATCCAACAATCAAAACATATATTATCCTTCACTACCTTTTATACCATCATTAACTCCCAAATTAATACAAACACTAAATCTATTGACAATATAAAAATAGCAACAAAGAACATCAAAACCATTTCATCTTTATATTCCAAAACTAAATATCCTATAGACAAATTAGATGTAGTGTACAAACAAATGTAGTCTACAGCATTGTTTGTACTCAGTGTGAAGCTGAGTATATTGGTGAGACTGGAAGAAATCTCTCAAATCGCATTATTTCTCACAAGAGTGATTGCAGAATTAAGAAACCATCTTGTGCTTTGGCAGAGCATGTAATAGACAAAGACCATATTATGGATTTTGATAATATTAAAATTTTATGTAGTGAAAGTAATAAATTTAAAAGAACTTTTTTGGAAATGGTTTGTATTAGCAAAAGTGATAATAATTTAAACAAAAGGTCAGAAATTCAAAATCTAAGCAAAATTTATAATTATATTATTTCCATGTAATTTATATATGCAGTCAGTAAAATATCACATTTTGAATTTTCCATGTATTTGTTACATTTTTTCGGGCATCTATCAATGGTGAATAAATCTTCTTCTTTTTTGTTACTAAACAAAGAAGAAGTTTCTAAACAAAATTTTATTTTTGACGATATGTCAAAAATAAAAATTTTTAAGTTAGTATTTATGACATTTAGGCTGGTTTGTAGCTATTCAATTTTTGTTTACAAATTCAATTGTTTTTGTTAAGAAACTATCAAAATTCAATTCTTTTCAGAGAAACAATAATTAGAATAGGACATTTTTTTATTAATATTTTTTGTAATTATTATGTAAGCAGCAGTTTTATATAACAAACTAATTTTATTTGGTGAGTTAACAAAAAATTTTTTATTTCTAGTTCAACTTTGTAAGATATTTTGTATTTTTTAGAAGCTCTTGATAATAATTGTAATCACAATTGAAAGCTCGAGTAAAAAATAGTCAATAAATAGCCCCTTTTATTGACTCCAACCCATCCAAAACAGTTTTATATATATATATATATATATATATATATATATATATATATATATATATATATATATATATATATATATATATATATATACTGACACGTTATGTAAAATAAAGGTTTATTTTGAGGATGCAGCCATTAAGGTAGGGCAGGATAAGTTAAACTCTTTGTTCTTAAATCAAGCTTTCGCAAAATTTATTTATTAACAAAAACAGACACGAGTGTCTTTCTGACATAAATCAAACATCATTATAATAATCAATGTCATAAAATATTCAAAATTAAAATATTGTACTTACATAAAAATATAATTTAGATAAGAATGTTTTGTGAATTTAATAATTTAATGGTTTAACCTCATGTTGTAAGTTTTTATATTAATTTTATACAATTCTAGTTTCATTGTATTCTAGTTTCATTGTTTTTTAATTCTAATTTCATTGTATTTACCATAACATATTTTAGCATATCCTGATGAAGCAAATAAATTTTGCGACAGCTTGATTTAAGAACAAAGAATTTAACTTATCCTGCCCTACTTAAATGACTGCATCTCAAAATAAAACTTTATTTTATATATATATATATATATATATATATATATATATATATATTTAAATATGTTGTTTATATATAACTAGTTATGAAGATGTTGAAGAAGAAGTACGATAACAAAGCTTAAAAGCAAGTAAAGCGGCGGGATCTCTTAATGACACAATCTGGAAGAACAAACACCTAAGACAAGACACAAAACAAGAATATATAAAGCAGCAATGAGACACCCATATAAACATACACGGCGGAGACAAGCCCTGACACATCTAAAACCAGACGACTACTAAAAACAACAGAGATGAAAATACTCCGAATATCAGGGAAAAGTCTGTTGGATAGGGAGAGAAGCGAAAACATAAAAAGAGCATGCAATATAGAAGACATAAATGGATGGGCGACAAAACGGAAACAGGAGTGGAACGAATACATTAGTAGAATGGCAGAGAATAGGATAGCACGAGATAAGTCACCAAATGGAGGAAGAAGTATTGGCAGACCAGAAAAAAAGATGGTGCGATAATTTAAACAATGTATTAGGCTAGTTTTAAACAAGAAGCAGGCTTTAAAGTCTACATAAAAGAAGGAAGAAAAAGAAGAAGTGAGCAAGTGAGTGTAAACGTTACTTCCGATAATCTACTGTTAATAAAACTCCCGTAATAGGTATTCTAGCTCCTACGCCTTAGTCTTAGATTAAAGCATCTTCGAAAGATATAAATAGATTGACATGTTTTTATTGACACCATTTAATAGTTTAACAAGTACTGGTGCAGATAATGTGCGATCGCCTAACGCTTGCAATCTAATAAAGCGATCTTCTACCTGACTTGTGGAGCTTCGTTTACTTTAGCCTGACGTCCTGGTGTATTGCCTAGAACACTCAAATTCGAGAAATTCCTAAAGTATTTGCGATGTAACGTTCTTGTAAGTAAACAACTAGTACTGATTCATCTTTTGACATTTTTTTTATTGCAATTTTTGAAAACGAGGAAACAAAAGAAATTAAAGCCAAACGTGTAACACGTAAAATAGCAAAATAAACTTTTAATATTGCTGTTTAATTGACAAAAAACTATTTCACAATAATAACAAAAAGCTTGTGTAGAACTATTGTTCGCAAAAATCATCTAAATAAGTAAAAACAAAATAAAACGTTATCGCTAATAAGACATAAAATACAACCTTTAAGTCTCTCGATAGCTGATTTGATTAGTATAAAAATATTTATTAAAAAATTGTTTCTTACCACAATATAAACTAATCCCACTATTTTGCCACCATGTCGCCGCTCCATACCAGCGCAATAGTATATTCCATTCTGAGATGCAGTTTGAACATAGACAGCATCAAATGCCTACAAATTTATTAAAACTGGTCAAAGAAATGTATAGGAAACGTACTTATCTATTTTGAGAACAATTTCCGATGTAAAACTCGACCATATAAGTAGAGTTCCTCTAGGAAATAAGTCAAAATTTTTAGTATTAGTTTTTCAACAATTTAAATAAGAACCTGTAATAAATTAATGGGTATATACATGATACTAAGACAAGAAGATAAGATATTGCGCATAGGTCGTAACGTCATTGGAGAGTTTGATGTTCGAAATGTCAGTTTTTTGTATGTATCAACAAATAATCTTTTATAAATAGTTTGGAGATATCCTTATGTGTACGATTATTGTTATTATTAAACCTCTTAACTTATTTTCGTCTAGTAATTTCATTACAGAATGCATACAAATCCCATTTAACTTTAACAAGAATTCAAATTCTACTCTCCAATGACGGCATGCGCGAACACGACCTATTTTGTGCTACGAGAAGATCCTATCTTGTTAGTCATAGAATCATGGGTATATATATATATATATATTATATATATATATATATATATATATATATATATATATATATATATATATATATATATATATATATATATATATATATCGGAAAAAGGAGTACGACCGTCAATCCAATATATATAAGGATCACTCAGACGAGTGGTGGGTTCTTATATCGGTCTCTAGGTGGAGATGATGATAGATACTATCAACCACTCTCTACCAATCCTTGTTCTAAATTCACAAATAAAATAAATAAATTTATAACACATTTAAAAAATATTAAGATCATAGATCAACCTTTAGCTTAATCTTTACATAATTATGATGGATATGCTCCAAGATTTTATTGTCTACCAAAAATACATAAACCTACGTTGAGCAAGAGACCTATTGTGTCATCTATTAATTCACCTAATATAAAAATAGCTAAATTTCTAACAGACATCTTATCTAAATCATATAATTACAACAATGACTTTAATATTGTTGATTCTTTCAACTTTAGTGAATTTATTAACAATTTTCAACTACCACAAGGTTACATTTTAGTAAGTTTTGATGTGGTGTCTCTCTTCACGAACTTACCTCTGTCCAGTGTAATCACTTCCTTAAAAATCAATGGAATTCTATTAAACCTAACTGCCCTGTGTCTTGGGATATATTTGCAGAACTGTTGCAACTTGTTTTCGACACTAATTTCTTGGTCTTTGATGACAAATTTTACCTTCAAACATTTGGTACACCTATGGGTTCCTCAATCTCTCCCATCCTAGTTAACTTTGTATTGGATGATTTGGTTTCTGACCGTTTAGGTCTGTTGGATTTTCAAATCCCTTTTATTAAAAGGTATGTGGATGATTTATTATTAGCCCTACCACCTGACAAGGTTCAGGGTACCTTATCCTTCTTTAATGAGTGTGATCCTCATTTACAGTTCACTGTTGAACTTGAGGACACTACCACCGATAGTATACCATTCCTAGACATGCGTGTCATTAGAATGGGAGACAACACCCTAACCACAAGTTGGTATAGAAAAACCAATAGCCTCTAATAGGTTCCTTAACTACCATTCCTGTCATCCCATGAAATATAAACTAAACCTTATAAAAGCTTTGAGCTACAGCCAAATATATCATGCTTTAATTTTGCAGAATTAGGCTTCTTGATCTTTTCACTATATTAAATGTCATATTAGGTGTACTACTTGAACCTTTTTCCATTTTTCATGAAATAATTTATATACATAAAATAGAAATAAAATACATAAAATAATTAAATAAAATAATTTAATATCTTTACTTAACTTACTATTACATATGCAACTTACATTGCATTTTCATACACTGATTACTTTGATTAGTGTGAACAATTTTATACTTAAATAAAATAATACAAATGTTGTAATTGATTCATAGAATCCTTTGCAAATCACAGTTCCAAGTACATGAACCTTGGGCTGTTGGAAATTAATGGGTCGTTAACCACCTGTGGCTGATTAACTAGCCATAATGATTAACGTTATTACATACATATGATGTTGAATGAAAATCTCCTGTTTGTAAATCTGGGCTGATTAGTGAGAGCAGTTGCTATTACAATACCAGTTTCTTTCACTGTTTTGTCTTTTACAACCGGGTAGTCATCCAAACTCATTTAAACTTTACAATTGACCGCCCAATTATTTGGGTTGGTACCTCCACCTTGCTGATCTGTCAAAAGTATTTTGACCTCAAGGTTGGCTGTTTTTTCGCGGTTTAGTTCGTTCCGGTTCATCTAACGCCATTTTTCCGGCGACACTTGTAGGACTTTGATCGGTAACTTCATTTACACTACTTTTATCATTTTTATTAATATCACTTATAATGCTACCTAAAGTTAAAATCAAAGCTTAATAATCATAAAATAGTTGGAAATTATCTATGATTTTCTTGGTTCTTGCTCACTAATTAACATTAAATAACATTTAATTTACTTTAGACCACATGGTCATTTGCTGTGCTAATTTTATAAGTTCATATATTATGTTGTTAGTTACTTAATTGTTTATACAAAATCAGCATATTATGTCCATTTACTTACTTTCATTCACATTATTGTTAATAACATTGACTGCTACATGTCTTTTTAAGGTAACAATTAACATCGTTTCCATGATTGTGTGGTTCTCATATTGTACTTTTTTAGATAAACTGATGATGCTTTCAAAACTCGAAAGCGAAACGTCTTCAAAATATATATATATATATATATATATATATATATATATATATATATATTATATATATTATATATATATATATATATATATATATATATATATGATGTCAACGATTCTAGACATTGTTGTTTATTCTATGGAGATTAAAATAATTTAAGTTACTTTCTATTGTGAAGAAAAATATCCAAATCTTAAAACCACGTTGTAAAGTGTAAACAAGAGGAGCGCATCTTATGGTAATTGACACAAGACAAATCTAGTAATCAGTTTATAAGCAGAAACATTATTTTTATTAGTATTGACCACGATATACAGACACAAGAGATAGGATAATACGTATGAAACGCATACCGGGCCCATCTAAACATTCCGTATATTACGTATTTGGCACCTAGGACATTTCAATCAATAAGCGGTAAGGTGCCAAACACATAATATATGGAATGTTACTTTGGTTCGAAATTCATATATGAAGGGTCCAATGCATAAACCGGTCAAGTCAAATACAGCAAAATGTTCAGGAGAAGTATACAACATTTTGAGCGAAAACTATGAAATCCTGATAAATTTTGTATTTTCTAACATTTGAAGGTCATCTTGTTTACTTTATTTTTTTTTTAATAATAAGTTGTAAGTTAAAAAACAAAAAAGTTATGGTTGAAAAATAATTGGACTTGACTGCTTTAGGCAAAGTATTTATCTTTTTATGCGGGAAAAATTAAAACAAAATAGAATTTCATTATAAAAACATTATTTTTTAGCAATTAATTTAATAAAATAAACAAGAACATAGTTTCATCTAAATGTTAGTGCATAGTTAATATATTTTTCTTTACTCACTGTCACTGAATTCTGATACCGAAGCTTCCTTATTGTCTGGTGAGACGTTCTGATGGTCATTTCGAACTGCTTCATAAAACCTTTGATCACACTGTGGCACATAATTTGTTGCCAAAGACATAACATGCTCGAATTTGATCTTTTTCATCTTTCTTATTTCAGTGTACAACTTATGGTTTGATAAGGTTTGGTAAGGTCATGGGCTGCAAGTTCCTCTTATCTCTTATTTCAACAGTATCGAATACAGTACAGTTGACGGTTTCGCTACATTTAAACGTCATTTCACTATATAATTTTTCATATCGCATGACACGATATTTTGAGATGGTAAATTGGTTGTTCTTCCGTAAAGGATTTTTCTCAAAAAATTGTTAAAAATGGGTCTTAAAGTTAGGAAACATATATTGAGTCACATTAATAACTTGAAACCTTTTGTTACTATTTTCAATAATGTTTGAGTATTCTTGGGGTAAATCTATCTTTTCATGTCTCCGTTTTTGTCTTTCTATTGCTCCAAAGCTTTTGTCATAGGGAAGGAAACTATGTCCTGGTTCAGGGTATCTGTGCACTATCAGACTAAGCTTCTCAGTAGTTGCCAAAATTGTATAAAACAACTGTAACAGTACAAAATTTTTGTTTTGGAACGAACAGTTATCAGAAAATATTTAAATAGTTGTTACGTCTTGAATAATATGATTATTTAAAAAATGATGTAGTGTCCAAGCTACATCGTTTTGTCCTTTTGCAGCTATTGTCTCATCATAAACATAAAAATAACTTTTTCCAGTACTTCCCAGATAAATTCAAAAATTGTATACCCAAAGTTGAATTTTGTGGAAAACTTCACTACTCGAGAACACTGGAAGTGGCAAATTTTACTATAAATCGAATGTTAAAATTTCTAGTTGTAAATCATTCTTAGCTAAATCTGTTGTTTCTTTCATGTCTTGATAAAAAGTTTCAGCTTTTGTAATATGTAGTTTTTTCTCCGTTTTCAATTTTTTTTTGAGTATCATTATCTGTGGCATTAATTTGATTTTGTAACTTATTACACTTCTGACAAGTATCTGACTTTGGTTTACCGAAGGATATTTTAAAGTTTTCTGTAAAAAATTTTTCTATAATATTCATACTTTACAATCGGTACAAGTAATTGTTCAGGTTCGTACTGTTCTTAGTACATGTGATGCATTTTTGCAATATTTAAAAGAGGCGAGAAGTAATAGTGCTGCAAGTTATCTTTTAAACTGTAATGCGATTTGTATCTTGGGTAACTAAGTATATGCTCACGTATCTTATTATCAGTACCGACGGGTAATTTATAAGGTCTTATTACGTGTTTTCCTCTGCCATCCACAGGAAGAGTTCCATGTCCCATATGTAAGTAATTCTGTAAACGTTGAAGTCTTGCTTTCGAAATACCATGTAGTGAAGAAAGGCCTTTTTCAAAATTTTCCTTGTCGTCCCATCGCACCGAACCTGGAACAATAAAACATTTTGAGTACTTGGTAAAAACTTAAACTCAAACAATTTATATTTCATGTTTCAACCAGTAATATTACCTTGGAAGTAAATGATGTTTTCTTTTTCATTCCTTAGCCAGAACGTGGTCTTAGTCGTTAAACTTTTAATTTGTCAATATTTTCATATAAATAAATATCTTGGAGATCTTTTGTTCCCATGGCACAAAAATCGCGAAATATTTTGGTACAGTTTTCATGCCCAATTTCTTTAAAACACTTTAGCTTACAGTTGTAGTTAGTACCAATATGTATATATATATATATATATATATATATATATATATATATTACAGGATCCAATTTGTAAATAGAATACATCTTGGAGACGGCTATCGCCGTATTCCCGTCCTCCTCCGCCAATCCTCTCGGTCCAAGGCATGCTCCACCTCCAAACCTCTCGATTCCATTGCTCTTCTAATACCTTCATTCCATGAGCGTCGAGGTCTACCTCTTTTTCTTCTACCAGGGGGCTTCCATCTGTGAAGTTTTTGGGACCAACGTTCGTCAGGCATTCTTAACAGGTGTCCAAACCATTTTAAACCTCTTAGTACCAATATGTTTTCCGGGTTTATAGACACCAGCAATGGTCAAATAAGGCTCACCCTTAACTCGTTTATTTTTTCGTATGTTGTTCGTATTTTTACCATAATGCTGTACGTAGAAGTCGCTTTTTTTCTTTTTGTGTCGTATTATTAGACATTTCAGGAACATCTGACGTATTAGGGATGGCTTTAGGTTCTTTATTTTCTCCATCAGAGCTAAACGAATCATGGGATGCAGTATAGTTTGTAAGGGACTGAATTTTGTGGTTATGTTTATTTTTAATTGGCACATAATCCTCGTCACTGGATGTATGGGTGGCTTCAAAAAGATCACTGACACTTTCTGTTTCAGAAGACATTATTTTAACTTTAAAATTATTAATAAACACTGTGAATTACTTAAAATAACAACACATTGATGTCAACAACAATAACACAATGAATGATAACCTATTTGACTGAGGACTAAGAGCACTGTGCATTAACCGGTCAAGTCCTGGACTCCGCCGGTTTATACAAAGTATCAAAATTCAGGCATACCTAAGTAAACTATGGTCAACCCTACAGCAAACCAACATTAAACATGGTCTTATCGAAGCAGTCTAAAGTCTGTATAATGGAACGACTGCAAAAATTAAAACTGGATCAAGGGTATCTGAAGGATTTAAGGTCACAAAAGGACTAAAGCAGGGTTGCTGTGTTTCGCCTACCCTTTTTAAAATTTATCTGGAACAAGCACTCAAGCTGAGGAAAAGAAAATGTAATGGCATAGAAATCCCTCTCAATGACGAGACTACACTGTACACCTGATGTTTCGCTGATGACCAAATACTGATTGCTCGAGGTCATGACGACTTAAATTACATGACTCGGAAGCTAATACAAGAATATAACAAATGGGGTCTCGAAGTCAACATTAAGAAAACTGAAGCCTTGTGTATTGGAAGGACAAAACAGTCCATTATATTAGACGATGGGGTAGAAATTAGAAACTGTGATGAATACAAGTACCTGGGTATGAAGATAACTCAAGATGGAACACTCGATGCTGCTATAAAAGACAGAAACATACAGGGTAGAAAAGCCATATCCATGATGAACGGGATTCTGTGGGACCAAACAATATCTAAAGCGAACAAACAACTCATATACAACACCATACTTAAAAGTGTAATCACATATGGCATGAAGTTTGGCCAATGAAACAAAGAACAGAGAAACTGTTACTAGCAACAGAAATGGACTTCTGGAGAAGACCAGCAGGAAAATCAAGAAGATATCGGATACCAAATGAGAGAATACGAGAAATGGTGGGAGTCAAGCATACAATAGTTGATGACATAAAAATAAAACAGTTAATATGGTACGGCCATGTACAGAGAATGCCAGATGACAGGATTTCAAAACAGATTTTGACGTGGACACCACAAAGGAGAAGGAAAAGAGGAAGGCCGAGAAGAAGCTGGAGAGAGGGAATTGAAAAAGAACTAGAGGAAAGAGAAATTTCTCCAGGCCTATGGCTGAATAGAGAAGAATGGCGGTTAGGAGTCGGAAGGCGTCGGAGAAAGCTGTAAACCGATAGTAGTAGTATCAAAATGCAGGCAACACATTATACGCTCTAGTATTGATATTTTTAATCCTATCGAGCTGCTTTATGCACTGGAAGATGTAGAATTTTATACTGTGCATAAATAAATGCTTAACTCATTTTGCCCAAAAAGTGGACTTGACCGGTTTATGCATTGGATCCTTCATATGGAATGTTTGCATACCAAAAAAGACGACTTTTCATTAAAATCAGAAAAGGAAAGTGCTTTTAAAATATTTGTTAATGTATTATTAAAAAAAAAAAGAGTAAATCAGTGCAATAGGAAATAAAACAATATATATTTGAATAAATAATAAAAAAAAATATTTTTTTAAATGTAATACTTATACGAAATTGAATGTTCTTCTACATTTTTAGTTGCATTTATTTAATTTGCTGAAATGTTGGACGAAATATTGTGACCCAAAACTGCAATATCTGGGACATGTACTGAGGGGCGAGCGTTATAACTTTTTGCAATTAATAATACAAGGAAGAATACAGGGTAGAAGAAGTCGCGGAAGAAGACACATCTCTTGGTTGAATAATTTGAGAGCTTGGTTTAACTACACTTCTGCTGACCTCTTTAGAGCAGCGGCGTCGAAGGTGCGAATTGCCATGATGGTTTCCAACCTTCTTAGAGGAGATGGCACGTGAAGAAGAAAAAGAAGAATAGGCTAGTTTCCGCAAAAGATATATAGTACATCTAGGCGCTTGGGCTGCGGCGGCATAACCCTTTGCGGCTCATTGGTTTCGCCAAGAAACCACCAGTTTTATCCCTTCAATGTGCTCAACTGACCTACTGTATCCACTACGTTGGCGTACTAGCAGTGCCATCTATATTTTAGTAGATGAACTTTAAAGTCAAAATGTTTTAGTTTGATCTATAGCTAGAATTTTTTTGGTATGATGGCGGTAGTGCCACAACACATAAATATGTTTGGAGTTCTTACAATTTTGACTGTTTTTTTGATAAAAACCTCAAAAATGTTGTGCAATAAGTCGATTGTCAAATATTTTTTTTTGAAAATAAATCAAAAATGCGGAAAGGCATCCACGACTACCGTCTTATTTACAAAAAATAAAATGCTGATCAATGGACAAAAAAGATATAACACCGGAGCTGAACGTGTTAAATAAATTCCGAAATTTTCTAAACAGAAAACTTGTCCCAAAAAAGCATTTAATAGATAAGAAACAACTACAGCGAGTATCATAATTTTTACTATTTTAGTAAATACTTACAAGATTATGGTTGGATAACATCTGGAGCTTTTCCAAATCATGTATTTTCTCAATGTTGTCTTTACCATATATATAATATTTAAACCTTTTTATAAGAAGGGGTTAGAAGCAAAAGGGTACAAGTGCATATTTTCTATGAAATTAGTTATGTGCAGATTTGGGTAGTTAAAATATCAATTTATATAGTGGCATAAGAATCCAAATGAATTCAATACCTATGGTGCCATCTATTGGCTAGTGGAAATTACATAGAAATAAAAATGTAGAAAACGTTGGTGGCAAAATGGTACAAACACGCTTGTACCGTTTTGCCTCCAAACGTTTGCGGTAAAATCTTTGGCGGTAAATGTTAAGTTGTAGGTTATATTCTTTTGTTTTAGTTTTATATTGTCGGTTCTCGTGTAAATTTAATTTGTTAAAATGAGTGAAAACAATAGCAGTAATAAACGTAGATGTGCTAAAAGTGAGTACCAAATTGTTAAACATTATAAACATTCATTAAAATAAATTTTTAGTTGATTTGCAAACATTACCCATGAAATATTTTTATATTTTGCAGGATTTCAAGTCTATAAACCTGATATCCATGATTCTGATGGTGATTCGGATCCTTATGCAACTGATGGGGATAGTGAATATTATGAATTAACTTCAGACTCTTTATCCGAGGAGGAAGGTGGCTATAATCTCAATCCTAACATATTGGTATCAAATAGTAGCATTGAGGCGACGTCAGCTTCGGTTCATGGTAAAGTTTTTATATTGTTTCATTCACGGTGCACAAAATAACACACATTTTTTTAGTTACGCCCAAGAGAACACGAAAAAGGCAAATAAAAAAAGACGAATGGAAAAGAATGAAGGCAAAGAAAGCAAGAATAAGTGGAAACGAATATAAAACGAAAAAAGGTAAAACTATCAAAAAAAGGGAAATGGAGTTTTGGATGCACGAATGCAGGTACGACTGCATGAAAATATCAGAAAATGATGCACTAAGTGTTTTTACAAAGTTTTATGAACTTCAAACATACGAGTTACAAACAAATTATATTGGTTCCTGTATTAAGAAGGTGCCTCCCAAGAGAGTAAAAGCTGAGGCACGCTATCACAAAGAATTTGTCACCCATATTCTCCTGATGGGCTTTAGAGTCTGCAAAACATTCTATTTAAAACTATTAGGAATAACTAATCGCAGATTTAATACGGTGTGTAATAAACTATCCAAGGAAGGATTTCTGGAAGGCGATAAACGTGGCAAACATACACCATCCAACAAAATAAGTAAAGAGAGACGTGATGACGTCATATCCCACATCAAAATGTTTCCGAGATATAAGAGCCATTATTCTCGGTTAGAAAATTCTGCCTCCAGATATTTAGCAACTGATCTAAATATCAAAAAAATGTACACCCTCTATCTTGAATGGTGCTCAGAATTAAATAAATTACCAGTAAAGGAAACATACTATAGGCATATTTTTTGTACTGAGTTTAATTTGAAATTTCATAAACCCCATTCAGATACATGCGATAGATGCGATCGATTGAATAACTTAATAAGATATGGCTCCAGTAGCGAAGTCATTACACAAAGTAAAACAGAGCTGGAGGTACATCATAGAGTTGTAGAAAGTGTTGTAGCTGCCAAGAAAAAAGACACTGAATATTGCACAGAACACTCTCTCTCAACTCGCTTAATATCCTTCGACTTGGAAAAAACGCTAGCCACACCCCTGCTCACTACTAATAAGGTATATTACCTCAGACAGCTGTGGACATATAATTTTTGCATACATGAAGTCATTTCTGGTAAATCTTACATGTATACTTGGAATGAAACAATTGCTGCACGAGGCTCTCAAGAAATTGGTTCTTGTCTGGTGAAGGTAAATTTTATTACTCCTATATGTGTTTGAAAATTGTTGAATGCTACTTTTTTTATTTAATTTTTAGTATGTTAAGCAGCTGCCCCCAGAAGTTAAACATCTAGTTGCCTATTCTGATTCCTGTGGAGGGCAAAATAAAAATAAAAACATAGCTAAGCTGTTCATGTATCTGGTGCAATGTACTAGTCTGGAAAGAATAGACCACAAATTTTATGAAAGTGGGCATTCATACATGGAATGCGATAGATCGTTTGGCCAAATCGAAAAAAGGAAGAAGAAATACCCTCAAGTATTTATACCTGATGATTGGGTTGACATTATTAAAAAGACAAGTAAAAATTTCATTGTCACCTGCATGAGTGACGCCGATTTTCTCTCATTCCAATATCTTCATGAGAACATAAAGGATCCAAAGAAAGATGAAGAAAACCGAATATTCAGATGGCGTCAAAATGTCTGGTTTATTTATACAAAGAATGACTTTTTGAAGTTTTCTTTTAGGGTGTCCAGAAATGAAAGCTGGACTCCAATTTATACCGAAAGTTGCTCTAACCTAACAAGGGGAAGACCAACCTTCACATTGGAAAACCTCAATAAAAAACTCTACAAGAACGCATTAAAAATTTCATATGAAAAGTATGAAAATTTAAGGACATTATTATATTATATACCCCCTTGCCATCATCAATTTTATATTGATTTGCCTCATGAAAGTAAAAAAGGCAAGAAAGCAAGAAAAACAGCTAATATAACCCAGTTAGATATACCGTCAACTTCCGAGGTAGATGTGAATATACTGCCAACTCAGACATCAGAAAGTGAAGGTGATAACAGCGATGTTCAGGATCTGTTGGACTCAGATTATGATGATTAATTAATGAATGTTTATAATTATTATTTTTATTATCTAAACTATAAATAAGTTTGCTATTTTCACTAATAAAACATTCCGAAATACCAAGTTTTTTAAATTTATTTGGAAGCAAAACGGTACAAGTGCACAAAAAAACAAAAACAGGAAATTTTTGAAAAAATGTCTTATGCTAACAAAATTTATGAGATTGCAACATTTAAGTTGCCGAAGAAATGAAAAATGCAATAGCTCTCTGGATTTTACAATAAAACAAAAACTTTAACATTGAATATCTCTATTTTTCATTTTTGTCACTTGTACCCTTTTGCTTCTAACCCCTTTTGATGTTTATGCTCAGAAAGGAAAATGGTATTACCTCAAGTATATCATAATAAGTTTATTGATATTTATCAATAAACTTATTATGATATACTTGAGGTAATACCATTTTCCTTTCTGAGCATAAACATCAAAAATCTTTTTTGGTTGTTCCTTTTTACTATGTTTTATTAAAACTGCTCCAAGGATCAGAGTAAGCAATATAAATCCAAAATAAATCATCGCTTTTGCAGATTGCTTCTTAGCCTAAAATATAACATATAATTAAAAAAGTTACATAGTGAAATATACAACGAAAATTGCAAAATATTCTTCTAAATTTGTTTTTTGTAACATTTGTTTTCATATGAGGTACCATAGATATTAAATTCGACATTTTTTTAAAGACAATGATTTTTTGAAGATAATGAAACCGACTCTATATGGTATCAAAACAGTTATTTATACACCCTAAATTATACACCATGTACAATAACAATTACCATACCATGTATTCTAGTTTAAAAAAAAAACATTTTTTTGTCAATTTTTAAGAAAATTATGTTGTTGACACAAATACGTTCTATATATCAAATTAGAGTGAATGATGCACAAAGAGCACAAGTGCCATTTACCCCTAGTGTTTTACTACCGTTTTATGAAGTTTTATGCAGTACCAAAATAAGTTAGTGTCCTGTCTATCCTGCATAAAATTTCCGTGATTGCCTTATTGAACAATGTGATTCGTGCTTCGTCAGTTAGTGTTGTGCACATTTTTGATGTGTTGTTGACATTTTGCTACTAAGCCAAAATACCCAGAAGGCAAAAGGTAAAAGAAGACAGCTGACGAAAAAAGTACGGCTCCAACTATATAATAATGGAAAAAGTAAATAAAGATATCCACCGATCAATCCGAAAAGACGCAAGAGAAAACAATACAAGAGAAATAACTGCAGCCCTGCAGCCAAAGTCCAATTATCGCCCTTAATGGAACTCCATTGCAACTAGTTACTTATAAAAAAATACTTAATTACTATTAAACTGGGAATAAGCCACAATTAAAGATAAAAATACGTTTATTGATGTTTCAATTTCCACTTCGGAAATCGTTCTCAAAATACAAACAGTATTTTGTAAAAACTGTTAATATAAACTGTTTGTATTTTGAGAACGATTTCCGAAGTGGAAATTGAAACGTCAATAAACGTATTTTTATCTTTAATTGTGGCTTATTCCCAGTTTAATAGTAATTAATTTACAATGCCACAAGAAAATAGCTTCAGAACAATAATAAAAAATACTTAGTTTAACCTTTGACAGTAGGCTAACTTAGAAATAGCATATTAGTGTATTAAAGGGCAATGCAATGAAGAGACTTAATATCATCAAGGCACTATCAAAGTACACATCGGGTGCGGTCGAAACCATCTTACTTAATATATATAGAGCTTTAATCCGCTCAAAACTGGACTACGACAGCTTCATATACATGTCTGCATCAAAATCTAACTTAAAGGTACTGAACTCTGTGCATAACACTTCTATTTTTCTTTGCTAGATTCGACGAGAGTATCTTCTTCAACCTTACTTTGCTTCCTTATCCGCAAACCCATCCTATCCAGTCTACCATTTAATTACTTCAACATCGCCTCCGGAGATACAGCAAAGGATCCAATTAATAATAGATATCCAGAAATTAACTCTAAGAAACACCATCGACCTTACTAAAATACATCCCTTCCCAATCCTAGATACTACGCCTTGGAATAGACCAATCCCACATTCAATCACTTCTCCATTAGAATACAGTAAACATGAAACCTCAAGCCTTCTCATACGCCAACACTTCAAAGAAATCATAAGCAAGAACCAATTCCAAACAATTCTGTATACAGATGCCTCCAAAAGCGAAGCAGGCGACAGCAAACAAATGTCCTAACACAACTACTGAAACAACCTCATTGCCACAATCAAATAATTTCTCATCAACATTGTCAACAATTATAATAGTTGATACAAGTTTTGTGCATCTTCAAACGACTACATTATTACCAGCACCAGGTGTCAAATGACTACATTCATTAAATAATGACACAAATACTCTTGTAGACCAGGCATCCGACGTTGATGTAATTCCCCCTCCAGAGCACTCCTCCAGCACTGATAAACCAAAATTAATTGGGAAGAAACCTAGGATGCAGTCCACAAACGAAGCTATTCTATCAGACAACACAAAGACAATTATACAAAATCTATGTAACACAAATCCGAATGACTACGTTTTAATTATCTATCTTTTAATTATTTTTAGTTACTTTCAAATTAATTAAATGGAACTGTGATGGATTCTATCCGAGATATGAAAGAATCAAACAATTGATCGCAAAAAGAAAGGCAAATTTTATATGTTTACAAGCGACAAACTTTAAAGATAAAAATTAACAATTACGAAATATACAACTTAAAAATTACACAAGATATCATTGTTTAAGAAAGAACTACCTAAAAGCCAGTGGCGGTACCTCAATTTTTGTTTCCAGAGATCTGTTTTGACACATCACATATTTACTACTGGCATTGAAGCAATCACAGTCTCCATATGTTGTCCTAACAAAATTATGGTATGCAGCATTTACGTACCACCCAATTACAAACTTTCAAAAAAGGAACTGTATAATCTTTTTTTAACTAGCTTTTTGAAATAGATAGTTCTTCTTTTTCGATATCTGTTGAGGGCCGTTTTGCATTGACGTACATTTAGTTCACATTCTGAATTCCACCATGGTACTGCAAACGAGCATTACTGATGTTGTGGAACGCATAGCGGAACTAAAATGAAACTGGGCAGGCCATGTAGCGAGAATGCACGATTCACGATGGACGAGCAAAATTACAAATTGGAGACCAAGAGCAAACAAACGCAGTAGAGGAAGACCACCTACACGTTGGGCCGACGACATCAGGCGTATCACTAAAAATTGGCAACAAAGAGCACAAAATCGTGAGGAATGGAGGAGTTTAAGGGAGGCCTATGTCCAGCAGTAAACGTGATAAATAGAGGCTGGATGATGATGATGGTGATGATGACTGCTTTTTTAGAGGGGCATATTGTTATTTTTTTTACATGATTTTCTGTAGACATAATAATTAAACTGGCACACTGTCAAAATTCAATTAAATTTTTACGAAGATGTAGAGATAACAACCTAATACCAAAGGGCTTGAAGCTACGTCCAGCATATTCAAGCAGAAGGTTGGAAAACATCCTACATAGAGCCAGTTTGTCCATGATCCGAGAAAGATTACAATATCATAGATCGAATTTATTTTTTGTTGAACAAGATATTGTAAGTATTGAAGATTTGCTTTTCAATGTAATATCAAATTCTGATTTTGATCAAATTATTTTTAGTTTACATATAGTATATATAAATTCATATAGAAAACAAAGAAATATACATTTAAATAAATTTAATATTCTTTTAGAACAAAACAGTATACACACTTTAGATAACCTAAATAGAAATGATGACATATTAGCGACAGTTGTCAATCTATCAAATAGACATATAGGCACACGGACTCTACCTTTGCGAAGTGGAATACTCGAAGGGGGACCTGGACACTTTTAGAGTAGAGCTGGATTTTGATAAAGTTTTAGTTTAGAGATGGTAGGGTCTAGAGTGTATGTAGGTGGTCTGTCCTATGGCACATCGGAGCGGGACCTGGAGCCATTCTTTCGAGGATACGGCCGTATGAGAGATGTTTTAATTAAAAATGGATATGGGTTTGTTGAATTTGACGATTATAGAGATGCTGATAATGCTGTATATGAATTAAACGGTAAAAAACTTTTAGGGGAGCGAGTTACAGTTGAGAGGGCAAGAGGCACTCCTAGAGGTCGAGACCAGTATGCATCGGGTGGCAGCAGCAGAAGCAGTAAAAATGAAGATCGCCGCTCCTCAAATAATGACAGATATGGACCCCCCACCCGCACTAACTACAGGTTAATCGTGGAAAACCTTTCCTCCCGCATCAGTTGGCAAGATGTAAAGGATTATATGCGCCAAGCTGGGGAAGTTACCAATGCAGATGCCCATAAAGATCATCGCAATGAAGGAGTGGTTGAGTTTGCTTCATATTCTGATATTAAAAATGCTATAGAAAAGCTAGACGATACTGAGCTTAATGGTAGGAAACTCCGCCTGGTCGAAGACAAAAAGAACAACAAATCGCGTCGCTCAGCATCTTATAGCAGCCGTAGCAGATCCCGAAATCGTAGCCGTTCAGCAAGACGTTCCAGGTCACGTAGTCGCAGTTCCCGCTCCAAGAGTAAATCAAGATCCAGGTCACGGTCGCAAAGTGCTAAAGACGACCGAGAAAAATCCAAGTCTAGGTCTCGTTCGAGGTCCAACTCTCGCAAAAAGTCTGACAGATCCAGGTGCAATTCACGAAAGAAGTCAGTAGGAAGTGATCAATCCCGTTCTAGATCACATTCTAGAACTCCAGACAAGCGTTCCAAATCCCGTGAAGCCTCCAAAGAAAGATCCAGGTCAAGATCAGAAAGCAAGGAAAGAAGTAAATCAAGAAGTAGATCCAGATCACCAAATTAACACTGTTAAGAGTTTGAAACCACAGTAAGGTTTATATTTGTAATTAATTTTTAATAACAAAAAACAAAGTAAATTTTAATTAAATAAACCAGAACAATTGTTAGCAGTAGAAATTGTTAAATAATTTTACTGCAAAGAGGAGCTAAAGGCTATAAGAACTTTAAAAAATGACGACTCCATAATAATCCTACCAGCAGAAAGGGGAATACAACTGTGATAATGGATAAAATTCAATACAAAAATAAAATTAAAGATCTATTAATAAACGGACCTTATACAAAATTAACAAAAGATCCAACAAAGTCTTTGGAAAACAAAATATATAGAACTTTATTCAAGTTTAAAGATGTTTTAACAAGTTATCAGAGAGGATTAATTACACCTCATTACAGTAAGACTCCTCATTTTTATGGAGTACCGAAAATTCACAAAACGAATATACCACTTAGACCCATTTGTAGTACCATGAATTCTCCTTGTAGTGAACTATCAAAATTTTTATTAAATATTTTAAAACCATTTACAAATAAAAATGACACATTCATAAAAAATACACAACATTTTTTAAATAAATTATCAAATATTGAATTTAATTCAAATCATACTTTGGTAAGTTTTGACATAAATAGT